GGCAGCTTGCTTACTAGTAATCGATTTGTTGGAGGAATGTACGTCTATTAGACGTAATATCAGGTCATTACTCCATCTCGCCGTTAAACGTTTAGTGAAACGCTGTTTTTTCGGCGGTGTCTCTTCGAATTCCTGCGAGTTGACGCTTTCTCCAGAATCTTGGTATTCAATATTTTCTTTCTCATTATTATCTTGGGTATAAAAACGAATTTCTCAAGCTAAAGCTGAGCCTCGCGAGGAGCTTTTGGTGATCATTTTAAACGAGCCCGCCGATTTTTGGGGAAAACAGCTGACCAAGAACTATCATGAACTATCATACGCCTGGTGAAACGAGAAAAACTATTATCAACTATCATGAAGAATTTGAACAAGCTCAAAATAAATGATAGTTGGTGATAGTCGATGATAGTGCATGATAGTTGGTGGTCAAACGGAAGCGCGCGCTTCAACTATCATCGACTATCATGCGCCGTTTGACCAGGGCTTAACTTACCTCTCTTGGCTTCGATGATCTAATAAATTTGAATTCGAAATTTCCTTAAGATTTGTCCAATTTTAGCGATAATGCTTACCTTTGACAGACGCAAGAAGCAGTGCTCTGTATTTTTTTAGAGAAGTTTCGATCGGAAGAGTGTAACAAGAAGCATTACGGGACCCATAGCTATCTCTAGCTCTATATCACGCAATCGCCATCTTGGATTAAAATTAGCGTGTGAGCTGGGCATGAGGAGTGAGAGTTTGAGGCGCGTGACGTCAGTTACGGTCGATCTAATAGTGGGGAATGTTCCATCCATAACTTAACATGTTGATAACATAATATCTTTAAAGCTCTGTTTATTAATCAAAGTTTCGTTAGAGCTACCTCATGGTCGTTGAAGAGTAATAAAGTAGATGTCAAATGGTGAGAATTTTAACCATCTCCTTCTAATATGGCGTGACGTGCCCTGAAATGACCAGTTGTTTATTAACTTAAAAGGCGTAAGCTGGAGCACTATGCATGAGGTTTCGAGACAATATTTCTTTAAAGTAAGATAAAAACCGAACAGTTAAAAAAATAATGATGCTGTAAATTCAATCTTTGCCCTAGCAAGTAATTAAATTCAACCGCGCGTTAAATGCGTAATAAGATTCACGCAGCCAAACCAGAAGCGAAATAGAAATGAATAAAGGCTGATAGTTTCTAAAGAAACTGTTTGCGGCTGCGTCGGTGGGGGTAACGAAATAACTTGAATATATCAACAAAGTTGAAATGGTAAATTGGCCACCGTTACGATTATAAAAGCTGACGTTTCGAGCTTTAGCCCTTCGTCGGAGCGAGTGACGAAGGACGAAGGGCTTCGCTCCGACGAAGGGCTAACGTTCGAAACATCAGCTTTTATAATCGTAACGGTGGCCAATTTACCATTTCAACTTTGTTGATATATTCAAGTTATTTCGTTACCCCCACCGACGCAGCCGCAAACAGTTTCTTTAGAAACTATCAGCCTTTATTCATTTCTATTTCGCTTCTGGTTTGGCTGCGTGAATCTTATTACGCATTTAACGCGCGGTTGAATTTAATTACTTGCTAGGGCAAAGATTGAATTTACAGCATCATTATTTTTTTAACTGTTCGGTTTTTATCTTACTTTAAAGAAATATTGTCTCGAAACCTCATGCATAGTGCTCCAGCTTACGCCTTTTAAGTTAATAAACAACTGGTCATTTCAGGGCACGTCACGCCATATTAGAAGGAGATGGTTAAAATTCTCACCATTTGACATCTACTTTATTACTCTTCAACGACCATGAGGNACTCAGTCAGTCACTCAGTCAGTCACTCAGTTACTCAGTCAGTCAGTCAGCCTCTGAGTCACTCAGTCAGTCAATCAGCCACTCGGTCACTCAATCAATCACACAGTCACTCAGTGAGTCTGTCAGTCACTCAGTCAGTCACTCAGTCGGTTAGTCAGTCTGTCAGTTAGTCAGTCAGTCAGTCAGTCGGTCAGCCATTCAGTAACTCAATCAGCTTGTCAGTCAATCAGCCAACCTGTCAGTCAGTCAGTCAGTCAGTCATTCAGTCATTCAGTCAGTCATTCAGTCACTTGGTCATTCATTCACTCAGTCAGGAGTCAGTCACTCAGTCAGCCACTCAGTCAGCCTGTTAGTCAGGTAGCTTGGCAGCCAACTAAAACGTGGTTGTTAATTGTCACTGAGACTGTCTGTCTGTCTTTCAATTTGTGTGCCTCTTTGTCTGTCTGTGTATGTCTGTAAATCTGCCTGTCTTACTCTACATAAACATTGTACATTACTTTCGATTTCAAGGATAAGTTGCATCCAAAGGAAACTCTTTCAAGAAATCAAAGCTACCCTGGTCGATCAATTGTGATTCCAAATAAGTTCAAGAAACTAGTAAATGGACCAGGTGGAGACCGTCTTCGACATGTTAGCACTATGACTGGAGCTGAAGTGAGTTCAATAGGACCTGATCGTCGGCTGTATGTAAGAGGGCCCACGAGATACACAAAACATGCCGAGTATCTGATAAAAAGCAAAATGGTGAGTTTAAAATTGACATTATTTCATGTCAGAGTTGACGATATTCCTGCATTGACTGCAAATCCTTAGGTTTTTTTATTCATGGCAGATTAGCTTTTCTCCTGTTCTGTTTTAGGCCGCTGGAAGAGTCATGGCTAACACAATCTGCGTCTATATAGACAAGAAAAATCTCCCGGAAGATTGTGAAGTAAAGCTTGTTCCTGTAGACGAAAAAGAGCGCTTGATATTATCAGTAGGATCTTTGCCCCAATATCGCTTGAAACCTTGTGAAGAATACGATATGGAAGTGCAGGTTTGAGAAAAAAGTGGCTTAATGGCGGAGGGTATTCAAGGTTGAACACTCCGCACTGGGAGCAATAGGCGCGGGAGCGAGCATTTGGTGACGAGCACTGCGAAGCGCGAGGGAAGGAAAAAACAAAGAGGCTATCATGTCTCTCTCTTTCTTCCTTCCTTTCCTTCATTGCCCTCGGGGTTTTATTAGAAAGAGGTTAGGGTAGTAGATTGTTGTTTTTTATGACCGGGCACTCTGCAGATTATTCTGTCTGCAGATATATCGGAGGAAAGTTAGCGGGAAACGACCGTTCAACGTTAAATAATAGACGCACCACAAGGTAATGACTAAGCCAATAGACTGCTGATGTTTAGCTAGTTAACCCTTTACTGACTCCTATGAGTGACCCATAAAGAATTTATCCTTACGTAATCAGTACAATATAAAGAGGACAAATGATGAGAATAAGAAAAAATGTCAATTATAGGATTATCAGTTGATCCAATACGAAATTCTCTAAACCAAAACCATAAGAATTGTATTGCATACAGTAAGAAGAGTAACTAATGACATCTCAGGAGTGAAAGGGTTGAGTAGGTAATGAGCGTCGAGTTTTTTAGATTTCATCCCGAAGCAAAGCAGTTGGAAAAATCATACTGATAACGTAACGAAAGAATTGCCTCCCTATTTGACGGGGAGCATTGCATTTACAGGGAGCTTATTCGCTTTATCAAGCTGTAGCAGATTATGACGCTTCTGTCAAAGAAAGAGTTTTAACATCCTTGAGCAGCTTGAAAAAGGAAATTATGTCGGGAAATTATCACAAAGCTGACCTGTGGTGTCATTTTGGAAAAGTCGTCATTCGGTAACCAGACGAAGGTGAGGCTTAACTATTTCATAATTAATAGTTGAGTAGATAATTAGGACGTAAAAGACAGGTTCCGGCCACTACGTTTGCGCTCCTTTCTTGGACATTATGACACTGCAGTGTAATGTTTGTTCTCCATGAACAATGCACTACCCCTACTTTCTTATCATATACAACTGGATAATTCTCAGTTCCTTTTTCAAAACGCTTAAGGAGGAAGACTTCGACAAACTAAGATTCACTGAAGGAGATCTATTGCAGTTTAGAATAAATCTACCAGCTGCAATCTGATTGGCTACGTTTCTCGCTATCTATTCCAAAATGAAATATCAACTTGAGTTTGTCTTGTTGTTAATTGATTGGACGAATAGTAGATTTATGGTCTGCACTTATCAAGATAGGAACCTCCAGCTCAAAAATCTAATGTTGATAAGTTAATTCAATAGAAACTTTTACGGTTTGTGTAGTTAAAAAGGACACCGTTTTGACGATGTATGCCTTCAAGTGATTTAAGAATTACATACGTCAACAGCCGACCTCGAGGAGACGTGGAGCATTGTTGATTCGATCAAGAAGCTCCAAGCAACGAAAGAGAAAAGAAGTGAATGGCTTGTTGCATTTAAAGAGGGTGTGGACCTTGCTGACAAGGTGGTGAACGATGCATTTGGTGAGCAGTTAGTGGAGGACTTCATGGCAAGATATGACCTAACTTTTTTGTCCCCGAATAGCCAACCGATGCGATGCAAGGCAAGGTTACCACTTTCGACTTTAAAATGAGCTGAATCATTTTCTATTTGGAAAGCATATAAACAATTACGAAAAAGAGGTTAACTGTACCCATAATGCAGTGTAGTTTACCATAATGAATGCATGACCATTAGACACCCATATAAATATATTTACAAGAACAAGGTCAAAAGAAAATGCGTAAATAATGATAAGAAAGCCAAATGAGGATTACTTAGCATGTTAATTTCCTTCTCAGGTTCTTAACAGCTCGGAAACATACACTTTTTACACAGATTAACGCTCATTTACATTGATTTCAAAATTCTTCATTTAGCATTTTTGTAATTTGTTGGACATCTACAATATCTGAGATTTAGTATGAAAATTTGCATTCTCTCAATTATTCATATTTGGCTATTTTGCACTTTTTTACTTTGGATTTTTCTTATAACAACGTTTTAAGGCAAACATATTGCAGTTGAGGGTATCCATAATTTTTTTTTCTTAGGTGTGGGTAGTAAATAAAGATGTGGGAAAGAAACTTGAAGAAATACCAATTCCTTTCCATGACCTGAAAAATATTGTTGAAGAATTGCGGTTTGAAGATGAGCCCACTAGGGCGAGATGTCGAGGGTGGCTGGTTTTACAATCCAAAAAAATTATCCAGGTTAACATCATATTTCCCGGTTCAGACATCGATTGCAGGATAACCTTGCGTGCACTTACGGGTGAGTTTCCGAAAGGTCTGATACCTCCATTCCAGAAGTCTGTGTGTCATATTGGTTATGTGCATAACTGATTATGTGAGTGAGTGACTGATTGAAAAACCGAATGGCTGACTGACTGATTCACTGACTGACTTATTCACTTGCTGACTGACTGACTAATTCACTGACAGACTGACTCACTGACTGTCTGACCGATTGACCGATTCACTGAGAGACTGATTCACTGACAGATTGATTCACCGACTGACTGACTGACTCACTGACAGACTCATTCACTGACCGACTGACTGACAGACTAATTAAATGACAGACTAACTGAACAAGGATAAATGAGGTGGATAGGTGAGTAAGTTAATGTATAGGTGAATGAATGCAACACCAACAAACATATGCATGTCATTTATATCTCCCCCTCTTGTTGCGATTGTATAGAAGTACGAAATTATACCTAGGTCGATATTTTGGTCGATTTATTAGGTCAACAGTCAAGTTTCGCTTCGCAAGAGCCAAATAAATGGAATGCATTTTGGGCACGCAAGATGGCCGTTTAATGCTTAAAACTTACGTAAAATCACTTTATTCATTAAGCTAAAAGTGAGTCAGTAATAGGCGAGTGGGTGAGTTAGTGAATTCAAAGCTAACATATTTATGAATATTCAATTTATCTTTTTTTTCTCAGATGATTTAGTAGCAGACAGCAACCTTGTGTGCGAGAAAGAAGAGACACGCCTTATATCAAAATATCTCTCTAAGTTAACATTTACCGATGCCGACGGGTTACGCCTACCAGCAGATGAGAAATTACCCCAGGCGTTTAACCACACTCATTGGAGATGCTCCCGCCGGACTTTGTTAACCCCCCGGCCTGGATTTTCCATGATTGTCTCTAATGAAAGATCCTGGTGTAGTGATCTCAGGGATGAGGAAAACAGAGTAACGGTAGGAAAAGTTCTTTTAACAAATCAGCCATAGTATGTGTCTTATTTTACTTTAAGTTTAGTGTTCTATCACAAATACTTTACTCTGATTGGTTACGTTCCTCGCTATCTATTCCATGATAGACTCTGAGTGCGGTTGTAAACAAAATGAAATCCAAACATGACCCTGTCTTGTTGCTAAGTTTTGAACGACTCGTAGATTTTTTACTAAAACGAGAAAATCATTCGCTCCCATTCCTCTGAATCACTTATCAGGCATAGTAATCGAGAGTCAATAATTTAATCCTTTGTAATGTGAAAACTGGATCATTGCCGGTATCGGAGTAACTGCGCAACCGCCCCTCCCCTAATCCACAGTAGCCCTTACTTGTCACCAGTTGACTGTTGCTGGGTTGGGAAGGGGTTTGGAAAATTTGCTCTTCACCAAATTAACGCGAATGTTTTATAAAGTCTTTTTAATTGGCGTTAATTTTTGTCATCTTTAATAGCCTAGTCGTTAACTACGTAGTTCGATAATTTTTGAAAAAATTGTGTTTTTCCTAATTTCTTTTTGTTTTTCGTTTCTTTGGAATCATTCATTCTTTTAGACGGATATTCACCTTCATTGTGAAAAATGGGATCAGCTTCTCAGCGAAGAAGATTGGGAGCCAGAAATAATCTGTGCCGAATTGCCTGAGTTTCTTCGCTTTGTTCGCCAAGTTCAAGATTTCATTTCTTGTAACTGTACCAAAACAGCTGATCAGGAATGAAGCAAGGTTGATAAGCAGTTGATCCATATTAATTGTTGCTCATAATCATAAAGATTAAAAATTAAGTTTAAATTTGATGCAACTAATTTGGTGTTTTCGTCTCCTTCTGCTGTTGTTTTTCGTCGTTTGTTCTATTTGAATTTCTTTCTTATCCTGGATGTTTCTGGTGTTATTTCGTAGAACTGGACGGAAAATGGAGCAGGAAAGGTGCGCGCTTAGGGATCCAAACCTAGGTTTTTTTTACATCATTCAGGTTTGACCTTTTAAGCGTTGAGTTTTAAAGTGAAAAAGAAATTTTTTTTGTTGGTCATGAAGGACACTTCATGACCAATGGAGAAATAAAAATTCCCTCATTCGAAAAAAGGTAAAACATGTGGACTCTTAACTCGATGTTTGACGTTTGTCATTTGATTTTACTACATGAAAGAGCTCAACTAAAACTGATAATCGAACGAGTGCTCCACTTTTTCAATTCAACGATTTCACCATTTCCGTTTGGTTGTAATGCTTTTGGAAATTAACTTTTTTTAAGAGTATTTAAGATATTTTGGACAATGCCAAACTAAAATAACAACAAAAAAGGAAACTGCAAGTGAGATGTGCAATGCAGCTACATAACCCAATGTCTCTGTTAAGACTCCTGCCATGAACAACGACAATTGTTTACCAAGAATTTCCAATGTACCAAGGAAAGAATAACAAGTTGTGCGCACGGACGGAGGTGCATTCTGGGAACATTGCAACATGAGTGTATAGACGGGAGTGGCCTGTGAGCCATGAACCACACTGAGCAACAGGTATACTGCAAATAAACAACAAAAAACTCAGATAAACAATAAGTGATCACAAATAACGCTGGTTTTTTGCCCTCAAAACAAGATGTGAGCATGCCTCTTAGTCGTTTCCACGTACACACAAGCCTTACGTTTGACAGCTGTACTCCTCAGCTGTGGGAATTTCGGTGCGCCCACGAAACCTACCTGAAGGAACGCGGACGCCCCGAAAAACATTGCGTGTCTGCTACACCACGTGACTTACTAATAAGCAAAACAGTGCGAGCAATTTGGCAATAGCTCAAGTAACGCATCAGCGCACTTGAGTCTTTCTCACACTTTCTCTGGATTTAACACTCACCAATAGCTATGAACTTTGTATCATTCAACCAGACAGCACAAAGCTGAGCGACAACTGAACAAACAGATAACAAGGACGTCAGAATGAGAAGCTGCGTAGGGAGTATCCTAAAATTAGACAAAAGTGAAAACAAAAGGGTCCAACTTTACTACCAAATATCTAAAGGCTTCAAAATTAAAGATCAAGGTTAACATTTGTGCACCTTCTCCATCCAAATTTGTTGTCTTTTGATAAATTATGCTGTTGTTCGGCCTTCATAATTTGCGCGACTGGAGAATGTCATTACCACCGGGCATAAACATGTCTGAATCGTTCAAAGTAAAATAACAAATCTTCGTATACAAAAAACACCCAGCTTGCGTACAGTGGCCTCCTCCCTTAGAAAATTGAGATAGGGTTCCCATACATTGATATTTTTAAGGGAAGAGCGAAGCGTTGCACTGACCAAAAGCACCTGACGAGGTGAACGTTCGTAAGGTTACCAAAGAAAGGCTGCTTTTAATTTTCAGTCTTTATCTTTTATGGTGAGTTTATTTTAAAAATAAGGAATAGAACATCTACAAATCACTTTCATCTTACCGTTTTGCAGACAGAGCCACTCCCCAAACAGAAGCAACAGTTATTGAGATACCCTGCCCAACCATTCCAGACAGGAATCCGATACGGCCCAGACTCTCACCAGTATCTACCAGAAACATGGTGAATATTGACTGTGAAGAATGCGACGCATATTTATATATACACGCGCACGCTATCATCCATTGCAAACCTGGTGTGCACGAAAACCCACTCATCCGTGTGCTTCCTGAGTAACGCGATGTTTCCGGTTCAGGACAAACGTCCGGTGTCACGTAGCTTTTCGTGACAAAAAGTGTCACCATCAGAAAGAAATATAAGATCGCAAGGACAACGAATATTTTTTTTCCCATTAAGAAATACTCCGCAGCCAATAGGGTCAGACCGCCTCCTATTAAAAAGCCAACTTTGTAGCCAATAATCTGAAGAGAACTTGCATTTGACAGTTGGTCTCCATGAAATTTTGATATCAGTATTTTGCCGAGAGTCAAATCAACCGTCGCAGAGAATAGATTAAGTAATACCAGTGAGGAAATAAAAATAATTCTATTGTCAACCCTTGCCAGTAGAAGTGCAAGCGCAGTTCCAGCATAGCTTATCGAGAGCCAAAAGGTTTTGTTTCCGTATGCATCGATAATCGGTGCCCACAGAGATTTTAAAAGCCAAGGAAACGTCAACAGATTCAGCGATCCCACGAGAAGAAGCGACGATCCAGATTTGCGCAGAATTATGGGAAGATATCTTAGTTGAAGGCCATATAATATACCTTGCAGCGCATACTGTAAAGCCAAGAAAAACTGATACCACATCCGAGGACCTTGCATGGTAAGTTGTAGACTACGAGAAGTCCCTCCTATTCGGCGAGGTCCGTCGTGGGAGTCAAAAAATAAATCAGTGAAAAAGAATTGATGTCGGTGCGCTATGAGCGCCTCATTCATGGAGCTCCCGTAATAAGGACTACGAGCCCAAGAGTTTGAATTATGCGATGTGATCACAACGTAAGGATATGATTGGCTACCGGCTAGAAATCTGTCAACAAGCGGTCATACTTGTCCCGGCCTACTTTTCGAGCGCCTCACTCATGGAGCTCCTGCGGTGCATTGGCGTTACTTTAAGAGTTCCCCGCGGCAAGCTAAGAGCAATTTTTTTCACCGTTTTTTTTTTTTTTTCGACTCGCGCGACGGACTTCAACGAAAAAGTAGGGACTGCTCGCAAAAAGGAGAGACTACTCGTAGTGTAGGTTGGTTGTTGCATAAGGTTTGCTTTGTTTCCTTTCGTGTTTATCAGGATTTCTAATGAAGCTACGTGATCGATCATTTCCGCTTGCGTGGCCTTTTATGAGATGCCGGAAACCTTACTTTGACCCCCTTCGAAGTAAAACCATCTTAGTCTTCAGGTTTTTCCTTCCTCATGTTATGACTACAACTCAAAATTTGATCTCTCTGAGGACTTTTTCTTCCAGTACAAAGGACAAGCACATTCCAATGACGTTTGTGTCAACGCATCATTGGAGAAATGATCTGTGTTTGTATAACTGCGGTGCATGCCCCCTTCGGCAGTATATATGCGAAAATAGTGATTTGGCAGTTGAAACTTACCCAAGATAACGAAACATAGGTGTGTTTTTTTGCTTTCATAATCTAGCGATCTAGCATCCGTGATTTTATGGGCTATGAATGTCAACATTTGATGTCGGTTGGGATCGAGACTATCACGTCGAGTTCAGGTCCATAAAGTCCTGTTAAACCCCTAGTCCTTCGCATCACTATTCTCCTATCAACGGCGCTTTTAACAAAATACCTTGCTTTGAGGTTGAAGAAATTTTGGTGTCAAATAAAACGGGTCTTAGGACTCTTAAATCACGTGCGGGAGGTCAAAAAGTAAACTGTGTGGAATGTAGCCGTTTTCACGATAGCGCTCGTAAAAACATCTTCGTAGCTTTCGAACAGGATATTCAAAAGTCATGCACGGATAGTTTATCTCCCACTGCCTTAAAAAGAGTATCTGTAGGAATAAAAATTAAATCGTAAATGGAAGAGAAAATTTCCGGATACAATGACAAGTTCAAAACGTAAATTTCGTACTGGAATTTTGAAAATTCTGGTCGAATCGACAGCGCTTCAGTACAGTCATCTTTTACCCTCAGCTGATTAACATTATGGGAAAATTTATTACTTGATGAGGAAATTCTAACAATAATCGATTGATGTTATGCTTAATTCGTGACCTCAGTGTTCTATCATATCGGTGCCATCTGCAAATAAAATCCTCCCTGTGTGTAATCAGTGAAATGTTGGAAAATCTTTCCTTCACGATGTTACTATTGTTATAAACTACTAAAGCTTACTAAATTTAGAAGTGTTTGGGAACTATTGAAATTAGAAATATTCTGGTTGGTGTTTGGGACTATTGTTTAAGCCTGTTAGATTATCTTGAAATCCGTATGAGAGTCTTGTGAGCATTGGTTTGTCATTTGCTGCGAGACCACACATTTATTTTTACCTCAGTTTTGAGTGGGCTTAATCATCGCGCGATAATCGTCATCGCGTGACGTGTTTGAGTTTGTCCTTGGCCTTGCTTAAGAGTCCTCAATGGGAAGCTTTGTTTAGGTTTTAGTTATCGAAGATGTTTTTTTTTTTTTTTTCCAACTACTTTGTTTTACTTTTGGAATGTCATGTGAAATTGTTTGGGTTAGTTTTCTAAAAATATGTTCACTCTACCGAAGTCAGTTGTCCTCAAACATGCCAACCGTTATTTAAGGGTTAGGTTTATATAGAATGTTTAAGAGCGTGTACTTAGCGCTGAAAAGGGAGAGAGACAGACAGTGATGCCTCCCGTTTGCGCGTGCTGCTCGAGCTAGTTTATCTCAACAGTCCAACATAATCGTCGTTAATTTATTGTTATCATTCTATTTTTTATAAAGATACCATTGTCTCGTATATGTGCACGATCCGACGCGATATGTGCGATATGTGATCCGATATGTGATCCGACACGATATGTGCTGTATGTGCGATATGTGATCCGACACGATATGTGCACGAATACATGTATTTCATATGTTTGTTGTTTGATACCATTGTCTCGACCTCCTTAATTTCGTGGAAAGAGTGGTTTTTTCCCTTTCCAGCTATCATATTTATTTTCAGTTTTTATCTCTTCCGCTCTCAAGGTTTCTCGCGTAAATTTGTTTCTATTACTTTACGTTTGACCTCAGACACTAGTTCCCAAATAAAAACGCACTTAAAACAAAATTACCTTACCTTTTCTTTTTCTTTGTCTCGTCCCACTTCATTTCTCTAAAGCGGGGTTTTCCCTCTCAATTTCACGGAAAGAGGGGTTTTCCCTTTCCAGCTATCAAATTTATTTTCAGTTCTTTCAATTTTACAGCTTATCTCTCCCTATTTTAAAGTTTTTCGACCAGGTTTTTTACTTAAAACACTCATTCCTGACATATGTTCCAAAATGATACTGCACTTAGAACAAAATTGCTTCACCTCTGTTTTAGGTTTGTCG